CCAAAAACTACACATTGCAGCAGCAAATAATATCTACAAACTACATATTGCAGCAGCAGATAGTCTCCAAAAACTACAAATATCAACAGCAAATAACCCTTAAAAACTATATGTTGCGGCAGCAAATAAGTACCAAGAACTACTTATTGCAGCAGCAAATAGTCTCCAAAAACTACATATTGCAGCAGCAAATCATCCCCAAAAACTACTTATTGCAGCAGCAGATTATCCCCAAAAACTACTTATTGCAGCAGTAGTTAGTCTCCAAAAACTACATACTGCAGCAGGAAATAATCACCAAAAACTACTTAATTTCAGCAGCAGATAATTTCAAAAAACTACATATTGCAGCAGCAAATAATATCTACAAACTATTTATTTCAGCAACAGATAACCTCCAAAAACTAAACATTGCAGCAGCAGATGGTCACCAGAAACCACTCATTGCATCTTTAGCTAATCTCAAAACTAAATATTGCAGCAACAAATAATCCCCAAAAACTACTTATTGCAGCAGCAGATAGTCTCCAAAAACTACACATTGCAGCAGCAAATAATCCCCAAAATCTACTTGTTTAGAAGCAGATAGTCTCCGAAAACTAACTATTGCAACATATAGCCTACAAAAACCTAGCTGCAGCAGCAAATGGTCTCCACAAACTACCTGTTGCAGCAGTAGATAATTCTCAAAAATACCAATTGCATCATTTAGTCTCCAAGAACTACATATTGCAACAGATAGTCAACAAAAACTATCTAGCAGCAGCAGATAGTCTCCAAAAACTACCTATTGCATCAGTAGCCTACAAAAACCATCTAGCAGCAGCAAACTGTCACCATAAACTACATATTGCAGGAGTAGATAATTCCCAAAAATACCAATTGCATCAGATAGTCTCCAAGAACTACATATTGCATCAGATAGTCCGCAAAAACCAGCTAGTAGCAGCATATGGTCTCCAAAAACCACCTATTGCATCAGTAGCCTACAAAAAGCATCTAGCAGCAGCAGACTAACACCATAAACTACATATTGCAGGAGTAGATAATTCCCAAAAATACCAATTGCATCAGATAGTCTCCAAGAACTACATATTGCATCAGATAGTCCGCAAAAACCAGCTAGTAGCAGCATATGGTCTCCAAAAACCACCTATTGCATCAGTAGCCTACAAAAAGCATCTAGCAGCAGCAGACTAACACCATAAACTACATATTGCAGGAGTAGATAATTCACAAAAAATACCAATTGTATCAGATAGTCTCCAAGAACAGTATATTGCATCATATAGTCAACAAAAACCATCTAGCAGCAGCAGACTGTCACTATAAACTACATATTGCAGCAGTAGATAATCTCCAAAAATACCAATTGCATCAGATAGTCTCCAATAACTATGTATTGCATCAGACAGTCAACAAAAACCATCTAGCAGCAGTAGCAGGTTGTCTCCAAAAACTACCTATTGCATCAGATAGTGTACAAAAACGATCTAGCAGTGGCTGATAGTCTACTAAAACCATATATTGCATCAGATAGTCTACAAAAACAATCTAGCAGCAATAGCAGACATCTACGACAACTACTTATTGCATAAGTAGCCTACAAAAACCATCTAGTAGCAGCAGATGGTCTCCAAAAACTACCTGTTGCAGCAGCAGAGAATACACAAAATTACCAATTGCATCAGATAGTCTCCAAGAACTACCTATTGCATCAGATAGTCTGCAAAAAACCATCTAGCAGCAGCAGCAGATAGTATCCAAAAACTACCTATTGGATCAGTAGTCTACAAAAAACATCTAGCAGCAGCAGAGAGTCTCCACAAGCTACCTACTGCAGCAGTAGATTATTCCCAAAAATACCAATTGCACCAGATAGTCTCCAAAAAATACCTATTGCATCAGATAGTCTGCAAAAACCATCTAGAAGCAGCAGGAGATAGTCTCCGAAAACTACCTATTGCATTAGTAACTTACAAAAACTATCCAGCAGCAGTAGATAGCCTGCACAAACTAGCTCTTGCATCAGAGAGTCTACAAAAATCATCTGTCAGTAACAGATAGTCTCCACAAACTACCTGTTGCAGCAGTAGATAATTCCCAAAAATACCCATTACATCAGATAGTCTCCAAGAACTACCTATTGCATCAGATAGTCTACAAAAACCATCTAGCGGCAGCAGCAAATAGTCTCCAAAAACTACCTATTCCATCAGTAGCTTACAAAAACCATCTAGCAGAAGCAGATCTACCAAAAACTACCACTGGTACAGATAATTTCACTAAAAATTAGTATTTGTTTCCATTTCCTTATTATAAACTATTTACTCTTACCGTTTTGAATTCCGTGCCTTTAGGAAAAAGGCTCATATCAATAGCACAGCCAAAATCAATAAACTGTAGACATGGAATGTGTGTTGTTTGAGTAGGTACATCCATAACTAAAATATTATCTGGCTTGATGTCTCCATGTATAATATCAGCTTTATGTAAATAGTGCACCAGTGATAGCAGCTGAGAAGCAAAGAACATCACAACCAATTCATTGAGAGGTTTGCAAGTCTTCAGCCTGACTTTATTGGAACAGTTTAGAAGGCTACCATGTTTTCCTAGCTCTGACACCAGAATGCTTGCTGATCGACTGACCAAGGCAAGAGATACGTGCATGTATCCTGGCAACTGGAAGAAAAGAAATAGACAATGATAAAAATTCAGATAACCTTCTTGTTGATAATATTTCAAACTTACCATATCAGTATTAATAATTCTTTTCCTAATCTCTCTACAGATATAATACTCCCAGATCCTTGCAGGCTTTTGATATTTCAATACCACAGTCTCATTTGTTTGTTGATCAAATGCCCTAAACACAAAAAAAAATCAATATAAGTTAGCATAAATATCAATATATATGACCATTTATAATTTACCTATAAATGGATCCAAAGGCTCCTTTCCCCAACTCCTTATCAATTGAGTAGCCCTTAGGCCCCACCCAATAACTAGTAGAGCTCTTAGGTTGTCCCACATTGTTAACAGATACATATTTATCATCATCTCTCTCCGGAAATCCCATCCTGTTTAAAAATGCCTCCAACAATTCCGAATTAAAAGGATCAATGATGTCTCTGCCCAAATGTTTATCCACGATGGCAGAAGCATAACTCTTATCGTTCTCTCGCTTGTGTTCCATGATCTCAAAAGTGTCTGCAGAGCACTCTTCTTCTGCTGAAGACCATTTGTTGCTGTGCTCATCTTGTCGAGCTGATATGTGGAGGGTGTTCTTCATTGATTTCGAGATATTAGGACCAGTCCTGGAAAAAAAATAAGGTAAATATATTTAGATATAAGATATTTGAATTATTACATTGTTATTAGAAAAATCTTAAAACAAACTTAAATGCAAAGATGGTGTCATAATTTTAAGAACAATGTTAGATGTTACATGTTAGATAACTATGTCTAAGTGGACCAATGTTTGATGTTATCATAAAATTGTAATGGACGTAGGTTTATCTTATGTATTTTTAGAAGTGAAACTTCTGATGCGACTTCCAACCAGGTTATGATACATTTTCAACACTCAGGAAAGTAGACATAAATAATTAACAAAGTGTTAATTTAATAAACAAAGTGTAAAGTTATTGTAGCAGATGGTCTAAGGACTACCTATTGCAGCTGGTAGTCCCTAAAAACTATATATTGCTTCAGATAGTCTTTGAAAACTACCTAATACAGTAGCAGATTGTCACAATGTCATAAAGTCTCCAAAAACTGCCTATTGCATCAGATAGTCTACAAAAACTACTAGCAGTAGCAGCAGCAGATAATTCCCAAAAATACCAATAGCATCAAAAGTCTCCAAAAACTACCTATTGCAGTAGTAGATAATTCCCAAAAACTACTTATTGAAGAAGATAGTATCCAAAAATTAAGTATTGCATTAGTAAGCCCGACAAAAACCATCTAGCAGCAGCAGATAGTCTCCAAAAACTACCTATTGCATTAGTAGCCTACAAAACCATCTATCAGCAGCAGATAGTCCCCACAAACTACTTATTGCAGCAGCAGATAATTCCCAAAAATACCAATTGCCTCAGATAGTCTCCAAGAACTACATATTACATCAGATAGTCAACCAAAACCATCTAGAAGCAGCAGCAGCAGCAGATAGTCTCCAAAAACTACCTATTGCATCAGTAGCCTACAAAAACCATCTAGCAGCAGCAGATAGTCTTCATAAACTACCTATTGCGGCTGTAGATAATTCCCAAAAATACCAATTGCATCAGATAACCTCCAAGAACTACATATTACATCAGATAGTCAACCAAAACCATCTAGCAGCAGCAGCAGCAGCAGATAGTCTCCAAAAACTACCTATTGCATTAGTAGCCTACAAAAACTATCTATCAGCAGCAGATAGTCCCCACAAACTAACTATTGCAGTAGTAGATAATTCCAAAAATATCAATTGCATCAGATAGTCTCCAAGAACTACATATTACATCAGATAGTCAATCAAAACCATCTAGAAGCAGCAGCAGCAGCGGATAGTCTCCAAAAATTACCTGTTGCATAAGTACCCTACAAAAACCATCTAGCAGCAGCAGCAGATAGTCCCCGCAAACTACCTATTGCAGCAGTAGATAATTCCCAAAAATACCAATTGCATCTGATAGTCAATCAAAACCATCTAGCAGCAACAGCAGCAGATAGTTTCCAAAACTACCTAATGCATCGGATAGTCTACGAAATCTAGCAGCAGCAGATAGCCTCCACAAACTACCTATTGCAGTTGTAGATAATTCTCAAAAATATCTATGCATTGGATAGTCTCCAAGAACTACATAATTACATCAGATAGTCAACCAAAACCATCTAGCAGCAGCAGCAGCAGCAGATAGTCTTCAAAAACTACCTATTGCATTAGTAGCCTACAAAAAACATCTATCAGCAGCAGATAGTCCCCACAAACCATCTATGGCAGCAGTAGATAATTCCCAAAAATACCAATTGCATCAGATAGTCTCCAAGAACTACATATTGCCTCAGATGGTCAACAAAAGCCATCTAGCAGCAGCAGCTGATAGTCTCCAAAAACTACCTATTGCATCAGTAGTCTACAAAAACCATCTAGCAGCAGCAGATAGTCTTCATAAACTACCTATTGCAGCAGTAGGTAATTTCCAAAAATACCAATTGCATTAGATAGTCTCTAAGAACTACATATTACATCAGATAGTCAACAAAAACCATCTACTAGCAGCAGCAGATAGTCTCCAAAAACTACCTGTTGTATTAGTAGCCTACAAAAACCATCTAGCAGCAGCAGATAGTCTTCATAAACTACCTATTTTGCAGCAGTAGATAATTTCCAAAAATACCAATTGCATCAGATAGTCTCCAAGAACTGCATATTACATCAGATAGTCAACAAAAACCATCTAGCAGCAGCAGCAGAGAGTCTCCAAAAACTACCTATTGCATTAGTAGCCTACAAAAACTATCTATCAGCAACAGATAGTCCCCACAAACTAACTATTGCAGTAGTAGATAATTCCCAAAAATACCTCCAAAAACTACTTATAGCATCAGTACCCTACAAAAAAACATCTGTCAGCAACAGATAGTCTCCACAAACTACCTATTGCAGCAGAAGATAATTTCCAAAAATACCAATTGCATTAGATAGTCTCCAAGAACTATATTACATCAGATAGTCAACAAAAACCATCTAGCAACAGGAGCAGATAGTCTTCAAAAACTACCTATTGCATTAGTAGCCTACAAAAACTATCTATCAGCAGCAGATAGTCCCCACGAACTAACTATTGCAGTGGTAGATAATTCCCAAAAATGCCAATTGCATCAGGTAGTCTCCAAGAACTACATATTACATCAGATAGTCAACCAAAACCATCTAGCAGCAGCAGCAGCAGCAGAGAGTCTCCAAAAACTACCTATCGCATTAGTAGCCTACAAAAACCATCTAGCAGCAGCAGATAGCCTCCACAAACTACCTATTGCAGCTGTAGATAATTCTCAAAAATATCTTTTGCATTGGATAGTCTCCAAGAACTACATATTACATCAGATAGTCAACCAAACCATCTAGCAGCAGCAGCAGCAGCAGCAGAGAGTCTCCAAAAACTACCTATCGCATTAGTAGCCTACAAAAACCATCTAGCAGCAGCAGATAGCTTCCACAAACTACCTATTGCAGCTGTAGATAATTCTCAAAAATATCTTTTGCATTGGATAGTCTCCAAGAACTACATATTACATCAGATAGTCAACCGAAACCATCTAGCAGCAGCAGCTGTCAATAGTCTCCAAAGACTACCTATTGCATCAGTAGCCTACAAAAACCATCTATCAGCAGCAGATAGTCTCCACAAACTACCTATTGGAGCAGAAGATAATTTCCAAAAATACCAATCACATCAGATAGTCTCCAAGAACTACATATTGCCTCACATAGTCAACAAAAACGATCTAGCAGCAGCAGCTGATAGTTTCCAAAAACTACTTATTGCATCAGATAGCCTACAAAAACCATCTAGCAGCAGCAGATAGTCTTAACACTTGAACTCATATACAAAGATGGTGACAATTTTAAGAACAAAAAAATTTGAAGCTATCGGTAATCCATATAATTTCTTAAAGTTTTGTTCAAAAACTCATCAATTTTAAGATTTGTAGTGATAAGTACAACAATACAACAAAATTATAGTACAAATGATATGTCCTTTAATATTTCTAGAACCAACACTAATGGTCTTATTAAAATCTACACAGCAATTTTAAGAAATCATTAATATTTTGAAAATTCCGCAAAATATTATCGTTTTTAGTATTCGCGGTGACTGCAGGCATATTTAAGTATAACATATCCAAAGTACAAACGTTGCGTCCTTAAAAATTTCTAGAACCAATATTAAAAGTCTTATCAAAATCTATGCATCAACTATGTTTTTTTATGAAATCATTAATATTTCAAAAATTCCACAAAAGAACATCAATTTAACTTTCTGCAAGAGACTTACATTGTGTTAGAGAATGATAAAGGGCATTTCCTCACTGCTTCATGCATCCTGATACCTTGAGGAGTACTTGGTAAGGAGTCACATTTAACAGGAGTACCCATTAGGGAGTTCTCGTCAGCTCTTGAGTCCTCTGGTGAATTCATTATTGAAGCCATAGAGTCATCAGCTTTCTGAACATGAAAGAAAATTTGGTACATTATAAAATAGAGTAAACTATAATCAATTAATGAAGTAAATTTTTAATATCTATTTAACTTCCCGTAGGGCAAGTTATTGTAATGGGCCGAAAATCGGAATTGAAAATTTTTACATTTCTCGACGTTTTGAAGGTTTCTATTGATAGGGAAAAGAGCTGATTAGTTTTTGGCGAAGACAGGTCCAGTCGTTTCGGAGATACGGAGCAAAGAGTGCAAAGAATAGAAATCGACTTTTTGAGAGAACGGAGTATCCGATTTGAATGATCTTAAAAACATTCAATTAGTAATGATTGGGAGAAGTGTTTATTAGTTTTTGGCAAAGGCAGGCCCAGCCATTTCGAAGATACGGAGCTAAATATGTAAAATAGCGGTTTTTTGAGAGAACTAAGCGCCCGATTCAAATGATTCGAAGAACTTTCTGCTTGTCTTAACAAAATAATTGATTTTGAAAAAAAAATCGTATTTTTTTTTTTTTTTTTTTATAGTTATTTTTGTACATCGAAAATAATTCAGATTTTATTTTTATTCTGACTAAAGTTCTAATATAACTTAAACAAATAATTCAGTTTATATAATTCTTATAAATATTACACAATGTTACAATATTTATAATAATCTATTTGAAAACATTCAGTATTCCTCGAACATCTCGTTACGGTACGGGAAGTACCAGCAATTTGCCTTAAGGCACGATGCCATACATCCCACTAGTTTATTTTTTTTAATTTGCAATAACTAATTTTCTAAGGTAAAAATTGTCCTTAAGTCACCATTCTGTATGTACATTTAATAAATAGATATATTTTCCATTGGGTATACTAAAAGTATAACTAAAAAAAAGTGTGCGCTTATCATGTTGTCCCAACCTAACATGATGCTTTTTCATAACATACTCGACCTATATTTGGTGCTGTACATTTACCTTTTTAACTTCCCGTAGGGTAAGTTATAGTAATCGCAAAAAAATCGAAAATGAAAATTTTTATTTATCTTTACGTTTCAGAGGTTTCTGAATATTTTGGCATACCTTAGAAAAAATGGATGTATGTATGTGTGTGTGTGTGTGTATGTGTGTGTGTGTGCGTGTATGTATGTGTGTGCGGATACAAATTTTCGTCGAAGATTTCGGGAATACGGATGAAGCAATTAGAATAATTCAAAAAAAACATTCGATTCGTATTGATAAGGAGACGTGCTGATTAGTTTTTGGCGAAGGCAGGTCTAGCCGTTCCGAAGATATGGGGCAAAAAGTGCCAAAAACGGTACCTCAGTTTTTAGGAGAACGGAGCGTTCGATTTTAATAATTCAAAAAACATTTTACTTGTATTGACAAGATGAAGAATTGATCAATTTTTCATAAGGGCAGGTCTAGCGGTTTCAGAGATCTAACGAAAAAAGTAAAAAAAAATGCCATTCGGCGGTCAAAAATGACCATTAGACATATGCACATCAAATTATTAAAATATTTTATAGTGATTTTAACAATAAGTATGCATTTTGTTTATATTCCTATGGGTTCCGTACTAATGTTTATCCGTCAGACAGCGACGCGGCGCTTACGCGCTTTATTTTTTGTCTCTATGCAGTTAAAGCAGTACGATTGCTTTAGAAAAAAGTTCAGATCTTTCAAAATATGTCAAAATAAAGATAACACTTTTTTTTCAAAAAACAAATAAAAAAAAAAAAAAAATCTCAATTTTTTTTTTCTTAATTTTTTTTTTTAAAATTTTTTTTTCAAAAAAAAGTAATTTTTCGTCCAATTTACAGTTTCTCAAAAATCTTATTTGTTCAAAGTAATTTTTTTAAAAAAATGTTAATTGTTTTTAAAAAAATAATAATTTTTGGCACGGGAAGTTCCAGCAATTTGCCTTAGGGCGCGATGCCTTAATTGCCTTAAGACAGAATTCCACTTACAGCTAGTCTCTACCTATATTTGGTGCTTTACCTTTACCTATATTTGGTAAAGGTAAAGGTAAAGCTCCAAAAACATAAAAAAGCATCATGTTAGGTTAGGACAACATGATAAGCATACACTTTTTTTAGAATTTTTTGTAGTTTTTGATATTTTTTGTTTAAAATCTTATATTAAGCTATAAGACATGTTAACAATAAAATACTAAAAAGCATATATAAAATCACAAAACTCTATTACCTGTGTCCTTGGTACACTAAACGACTTCTTTTTCTCGTTCATGTCATCATCTTCCACATGTCCACTCAAAAACCCGAAACTCTTTTGCTTCACCTCGTCATTCCTGCTGCTATTCATAAACTTCTTATTGGGCGAAGCTTCAAAACTCCTATTATTCTGCTTCGATGAATTCATCAGCCAGTTTCTCAGTTCGTCTTCCCCTTTGAACTTGTTTAAGGCAGTCTTGATGATGTAGGGCTGCTGTGAGAGATCCTTCGATTTCGGGGTGGTAGAATTTTTCGGTTTTGACATAACTAGGACTTTCGAGGAGTCATTGTGCAGCAGCTCGATGTTGGTGGAATCAATTGAAGGGGTTTGTTGGTGTTTGAGAGAATCGAGGTTTGAGGATTTTTTGCAATCAAGTGTTGAAACATAGCTTGACCTAAAAGAATGAAAAAGGGACCATAGTTTACATACTTATCGTATATTTAAATATTTTTATTATATATCTTACATTTGTTCAGTATTTTCTTCAATCAATGAAAGATTAGGTGTCTTCTTAACTGGTTGTGTGGCCTCCATTTCAACATTGGCAGCATTCATCTGTATTCTGTGTACAATACCTGAAAACAATCAATAATTTAAACTAATAATTTTGATAAAAAACAAAGCTAATACACAAAGTATAAATTTTATTAATAAATTTGTTAAATGGAAATAAAGGATTTTTAATTAGTTAGTCAGAAGTTACGGTTTGTATTTCCACAATTAAATTTGAACTATTCAGACTATAAAATTCATAGACTAAACCCAAAAAGCTCTTTTTACTAATATATTAGAGTGAAACAAATAACATTATGCAAATGTCTTCTAATACTTTATAAAAATGTAAAGTTTAGTTAAATAAATAAAAATATTAAGTTTAATTAAATCTGGCATAAAATTATTTGATGTATATTGAATAAAATAAATGGTATAACTTTGAGTGCATTAAAATGTAAAATGTAGAACATGAATATAATGTTCTTAAAAGCTAATTATAATTGCCTGATAAATAGAATTGAAGAGATTCAAAATAAAATAAAGTAGAATTATACTACATAAAATAAAATGTAAATAGAAAATATAGTAAAACTAGTAGAAGAAATAGAGAATATGTAGAGGCGTGATAAAGTGTGCAAAAAAGCCAAATTAGTTAAATTGCTAATCAAAGCCAAAAATAGCTTTATACCATAAAAAAAAGTATCAATGAGTAAAAACTGATAAGAAAGTAAAATTGCTAAATATTGCTACAGAATAATTGCTTCAAATTAATTGCTAATAAATAATTGCTCCTTATTGATAAAAAAAGTGAACGCTGCTTAATGTTGCTAAAAAAAGCATGAACTGCTTAATTTTCCTAACAAAGTAAACACTTAAAATTGCTAAAACAATAAATAAAATTTGCTTAAAATGTTAAAAAAAGTAAAAATCGTTTGATGTTGCTGAAAAAAACTTAAATTGATAACCAAAGCCAAACATTGCTTTATACTGTTAAAAAAAAAGCTAAATATTGCTACAGAAGTAATAATTGCTTCAAATTAATTGATAAGAAATAATAATTGCTCTTTACTAGTGAAAAAGTAAACATTGCTTAATTTTGCCAAAAAGCAAAAACTGATTAATTTTGCTAAAAAAGTAAAAATGTCTAAAAAAAAACTCACTTAAAATTGCTGAAGCAAAAAAAATGCTTAAAAAGAAAAAAAAATAGCTTTATTTTGTTAAAGAAAGTAAAAATCGCTTGATGTTGCTCAACAAAACTTAAATTGCTAACCAAAGCCAAACATTGCTTTATACTGTTAAAAAAAATTGCTAAATATTGCTACAGAAGTAATAATTGATCCAAATTAATTGATAAGAAATAATAATTGCTCTTTACTAGTGAAAAAGTAAACATTGCTTAATTTTGCCAAAATGCAGAAACTGATTAATTTTGCCAAAAAAGTAAATATCTCTAAAAAAAAACTTACTTAAAATTGCTGAAACAAGAAAAAATTGCTTAATAATGCTTAATAAAAATAAAAATACCTTTGTTAAAGAAAGTAAAAATTGCTTGATGTTGCTTAAAAAAATAGAGACGTTTTAGAACTGGTATATCGATTTAGAAATTTAAAAATTAATAAAAGTAAAAGTAGAGCATTATTTTAAAAACAAGAAATTTACTTAATTTCGATAAAAAGAGGGGGAAAAAAATGCTTAAAAAAATTATAAACTGTTTAAATTTGTCAAAAAAGGGTAAGTATTAATAAAAAAACTGCCAATAAATGCTTAATATTGCTTATAATTGTTTTTTTTTTCATTGAGTAACTGACCTGGTGAGTCTTCTGCTTCTGGAGACATTAAAAGTTTTTCAATACTCTGATTACTCTGATTACTCGATATTGCATAGTTCGGCATAGGTGATTGAAGTTTGTTCGAACGGTTTAAGGTAGCTGGAGAATTTCTTTCAGGAACCTAAAGAAAATTTATAAAATATATATATATATATATATATATATATA